TGGACTAATAGATGCTGAAACAACAAGCTGACGGCTCACCTGATGGTAAACGATAACCGTCGCCTATATACATGAATAACACTACGGACATCATGTTATCATGTCAAATCCGTGATGACGTGACGCGTTGCTATTCCAGACAACTAAGATGGCATCCTGTATTTTCACTGCCTAATTTGTACTTACAACCTAAATACAGTTTACAAAGTCAGCTGCTTAGCGGCTGAAATGGACTGTAGTACCCACAGACGACTTTTCACTGTCTACCTCTGTTAAAAAGGTAGTAAATCATTAAGCCACTACGCCCTTGAGCGTGCTCATATTCCAAATTAACAACATAAAGTCGCGGTATACTCTGATAAATGTAGGCATAAACCCAATCATTATATCGGTCAATAATATGACTAATGACTGACTGGTTCGATTCTAGCGTCGTGCAAGCGGGTCAAGGAGACTTACGCAAGTAAACCGTTTCAGACCTTACTGCATTAACAATTAGTGTTACGTTTCATTAAAGATGTAATCGTAACACCATGATTGCACCCAGAACGCCAGATGGGACTGACAGAGATATTTTATGGACTGCATCGCGTAAACATACAACTTCATACAAAGCTGGCCCACATTTCTCTGATGTAATAAAGACAAACATGTACCTTCACGTCTGCATATCCTGATGGAGTAATCTAAAGTTATTTTTAATGGATAATAATTATTTAAATAATTTAATTTAATTTAGCCTGCGCTAACGGTATACGCTGCCGGAGCACCAGTGGATAATGCTAGGAAGGGCATGAAGTCAGGTCAGTTGGCCATTGTGGACGCCAGCGGTGCACAATTGGAGAATGATAAGATGAGTATATAAGGTCAGATCAGTTGACCATTATATAACCAGTAATTAAACACTATGGTTACTAGGAGGAACCGCGTAGAGGTTGGCCTAACATGGTACAGGAATGGGGTCATTAGTCTCCACTATTGTTATCAACTGAGACGTCATAGTGAATATGAGATGCCCTGTATATTATAAACCAGAACATGGCAGTAAGTGAATCTATTACCGAGTCTCATATCTACAGCGTTGGCTAAAAGAATACTTAGAATACTACCTTAGAATTTTCTTATCAATTGACCTGTACTGGGTCTATTATTGTATAGTAGATGCATTGTAGCGAACATTTCATAAAAGGTAGACGTATTGTCTACCTTTTATGACAGGTGACTCAGGTAAGTAAAAATTTGGAGAATTTTTAGTTTACTATAATTTATCATATTATAAAAAACTCATAATTCCGTTATACTCTAAGCGTTTGGTATCTATCTATATCAATGCGTTTTTACAGAAATTGCTAGAACGGAGGAGTATGTAATTTAGCACACTTATAGTGTATATAGAAAAGGAGTGTAGAATATATATATATATTTCTAATTATGCATAAAAAATACATAGAATTAATAAAAAATACGTTACATGTATTTGACAAATACGCATAGGAGTATAGACTTTGACAATAGAACCTTAATAATGTTAAAACTTATAATTTAAATTATTTTACACTATTGGCGAAGATTATTAATTGGCATAGGACCATTTGATATGTCAAGTAACATGTAAAATTACACCGTTCATCTTCCAAAATAAATAAACAATAAAAAAAAAATTATTGTCGAATTTCGAGCATTGGGCAACTACTATAAATGCATCAATGGTTAATAGGTTACATCAAGTTAATAAACCATGCTAGGTCACGATCCATTGTTAAAAACTATTCTTTAAAACAAATAGCTGTAGCCATTTCTTTAAAGGTATTCATTTATATTTAAATCTTAAAAGGCAGTCATTACATTTACTAAGTACCTATAAAATTTAATAATTAAAACTTTCATCAGACTAATAGCATAAGTAAAAATATATTGTGTAAACGCTGAGAAAATATTTACTAGAACATTCATAGTTTATTACAAAATATTTTTTTCTAAGATTCTAAATGTGAATGAAACGGTAAGTGAATGTGACCTCATCGACTTGTCTATGCCCGGGCAAGAGGTCATATTTAGGCACCGGGATACCAGAATTATAACGTAATTGACATTTTGAGATTCCTTTTTAAATCTTGCTTTTGCCAAATTAGAAAGTTCAGGTCTGTAGTGTATAATTCAATAAAATATTAAATTTAACCGTTATGTGACAAGTTTTGGCGCAATATTTAAAAATAAGTCCGCAAATCCGTATAATATATTATTCAGAAAGAAATTTTGATGAAAAAAATAAAAAAAGGGTTGAAAAACGTCTCTTTACAAAATAACTCGATAACAAAAAATATATTATTCTGAATGTTATTATTTCATGTACTTGCAGACTTATTATTACATATTGCGCCAAATTTTAATTTAATATTTTATGAAAAAAATCGCAAGATTTGTAGGAAAATTTGTCGTGAAATTAGACTTGATTTTTCTGAAAAAATTGCATAATAATATAACAGTCTCTTTAAATACATGAACAGCACCACAATCATTTGAAGATTGTAATCCTTGTAATTTCTAGTGGACTTAGTTATATGTTAATAATATAAATTCACACAGCGCCAGCTTTAATAGAGCTTATGTTATAGATACTGACAACCCGATAAGATCTGTTTTTTAAATACATACATAACATACACACAAAATACCCAGACCTATACAAATAATCATAAAATATAAATGTTTGTAAAAGGAATAAACCATAGGAACTAAGTCAATCGTTATTTTTATTTTGTAATTTCAATTTTTCCGAAACATATTTTACAATAAACCTTTCAATCGTTATTTTTAGAACAATTTTTAAATAACAAATTGTTGCTATGTATAGACCCCATTTTATTTTAAGATTATTGTGTAAAAATTTACTTTATTTTAAACTCTGTTTTTAATAAGTTAAGAATCACATTAATATCCTCGAGCACGCTTGACTCGAACAGGAATCTAACGTTGACCCAATACAAAAAGTAGGTTCATCCCAATGTGACTCGCAGGTTCATGCCCGGCTCAATGTCAAAGAACTTGGGGTCCTCAAACTGTGACGTAACCTCCAACGGGTAGGCTGGAAGGTCCCCGGGTCCCGACGTACTGGGTCGACGGACGAACTCGAAGGGTTAGCTTTTTGGGGTAGTTTTAAACCGTTGGGCGTAGCAATGAACTTGTGAGAATATTTATTGTACATAATTGGTACACAGTACACATATAATGTATATTCATATACTATTCAACTATAATATAAATTAGTTTTATAGAAAAACTATTTATTTTTATATATAAAAATAATATTCCATTTTTTAATAGTATTCTATAAAATTTCATAAAAATCGGTCAAGCCATTTCGGAGGAGTATGGTAACTAACATCGTGACACGAGAATTTAATATACATATTAAATTATTGAACAAAATTGACTCTGCATGAATAACAATAAAAGATTGAATATAGCAAAAAGTTTATAAGTTGTGCTAACTTATTTTTTTTATATGATGTTCAATTTTTTTAAATGGGAAACAAACTGTCCCGCCTGATGGTGATCTATATACGAACAGTTCCACGGTCATCACGTTATCATGCGTTGCCATTCACGCCATCGTTGTAAGTTCACTGTCTAATCTAGGTCTTCAACCGAAACATATTTTTCTAAGCTAGCTGTGGCAGCTGGAAGATAGAGGTAGCTAAAGCCCGCGCGGACATGACTTCGTACAAAATCTACTTAGTTTTTCAATGAGAGTATTTTCTGTTTTGAAAATTCGATGAGATTCTTCTATGACTAAAAACTGACAGAATAAGAAAGTCTACTTATAATTCATCACAAAACAGTGAATTATTAAAAAGTAAAAAAAAAAACAAACAGGTATTCAATGATTTAAAACAGATGATTTTTAACCTTTTGTCATATTTTAACAATAACTAAATTTATTTATCTATAACCTGCCTATGATCCTACAAGTGGTAAACAAGCCCATCAATAACAAAGCATTCGCTACCTAGGCACGCATGAGAAGGACTGATGTCGCCGTCTCGTTCTATCTGACGCGTGCGGTGGCGTTATCGATAGATTCTTTTACTAATTGGCTAGGCCTTAGTCATTGTGGTAATAGATAAGTAAATATTTTTTTTAATGAATGATAATGAAATCAGATACACATTTATGCTAATGTTGTACGCTTGCGGGTTACCAGTAGAGAATGATAGGATGAGCATGAAATCGAGCAATCAAACCACCATGGAGAATGGAGAATTCACTAAGAATTAACCACGATGGTTGCTAGAGGGTTTTTTTTTTGTGGATGATAATGGAATGGTGCACCCGCCTGCGCTAACGGTTTACGCTGGCCGGGCACCAGTGGACAGCGATAAGATGAGCATGAGGTCAGGTCAGTTAGCCCATCGTGACAAATTCACCAAGAATTTATCACATTGGTTTCCAAGGGAAACCGCGTGGAGGTCACCTGACATGGTACATCGCTAGCAATAAGAGTATCAGTCCACATTTCTAACAATCCCCTTTCCCCCGGTTGCTAGAGGGTACTATGACATAGTCTATGTAAGGACAACCTGATATGGTACATAGCAATAGGGCTAGTAGCCATTACTGATAACCTCCCCCCGGAGGAAGTGGATTTTTAGTAATCTGTACTGTTGACCCCATTCTTAGCAATGTACCATGTCAGGTTTGATCTCCACGTGGATCCCCCTGTAAAAGATCTTTACAAATTCTTAGAGCTATGGGCTAACTTACCTGATCTCATGCTCATCTTATCATCCTTCACTGGTGTCCCTCCCAACGTAAACCGTCAGCGCAGACGAATGCGTCATTCCATTATCATCCATAAAAAAAAACTTATAGTTCTCGATTTCAAAACATAATGTTATTATTACCATACAACACAAAAAATATTTTAAACCTTGAGGTAATTATCCATAAGGTTTCGATCACAAAGTTAGTTATTACAATGAAATTTAAATTACACTTACCTAGAATAAGGTGTAGTTTTGCGTCAGTCTGGAAGGCATAGTGAAGAGTGACCAGAAACGGACATGCCCTCACAGCCTCCAAGACCTGTCGACAAAGTCCCTTGTCGTAACTAGTGCGTATTTAAAAAAAACTAGTGTGTAAATGCTAAGTATAAGGGGCCATCCATAAATTTATTTTTTGATGTCTCCTAATTTTTGTCACAGTTCATCACATTTATAAAACATAGGGGTTTAGTGTAACGTCACATAAGTCACATATGTCACGATTTTACATCTATAAATCATTATTTTAACAAATAAATAGCAATTTCTAATTTACTTTTATTTCCATTTTAAAATATCTTTTAATAAAATGTAGATTATGTTTTTATGTAACACTTTATTGAATAGTAAATATGTACATTTAAAATAACAAGCTACCACTATTTTAAGAAATAAGTTGTACAATTGTACATAGCGAACTTATCCCAAATGAGGGATTTCTTCCAGTCGACATAATATTAATATAATAGTCATAATAAAAATAATGTTCTGAAGGTTTCAATGTAGTATCAGTTCGGAAACACTGCTGGATAGAGCTTCCACAATGTGGATTTTTCTGCCACAATGTCAAATTAATATTACGTCAGCTTAAGCATTCCTATCTAATTGATATAGACTATAATGCAACCTGGTACAGATAATATTAAAAAAAATACTTATTATATATTTATTTGATAGCTGACGATATTATTTCTTATTTTTTATACTACGATGCTGGCAAACAAGTCTACAGCAAATTACCGTCGCCTATGGACGCCTGAGACATCAGGGGTATCACGTGCGCGTTGCCGACGCTTAAGAAACCTTAATATACCCTTCTTGAAAACCCCCATTTATGTGATGTCCGTAGTACTGTTTATGTATATAGGCTACTGTTGCGTTACGCCATCAGCATGTTTACTATGAAGACCTTAAAAACGTTTTATGCAATCCAATACTAAATTTGTTTTATTAATTACTGTTTAACATAATTCACAGTGGAAGATATAAGTTCTTATATATCTATTAGGTAACAATAATAATATATTTCTTACCTGTCTTTCTGTCCTTGTGTGTTCAGCTGTCTTTAATTTCTGTACTATTGATGCCTTTTTTAATACTTTCATCGCGTACAATTTGCCTTCGTCTATGCCGCATCGTTTTCTTACTAGAAACACCTTGCCGTATGCTGAAACAAAGAGAAAACGTTTAAAATAACGCATACAACTTTGTTAGGAACATAATCTATGGTTTAATTTCATACATATCCACAGTTATAAATGGAAAAGTTTGTCTACCTCTCTGTTTATTCTTATTTCACGACTATTTAATATAAAGATAAGTAGATAGATATTATTAGCTTAGATAGGTTTTTTAGGACGGATATATATATAACATAATGTAGTGTAGATTACAAAGATATTTTATAAGATAAATTATAGCCTACTTTTATATAAAAAAATATTTTAAAGAGGGTGTAAAAGTTCACAGTATCACTCAATTATCTAGTGGTTGAGCACAATGCTACATTGTCAGATGGTATCAACCACCACTCGCCTTCTTCTTCAAGGTGAGTGGAGAACCATTAGACAGTAGCGGCAACATTTACTTTAAATTTTCACGTTTCTTACACATAAATAATTACAATAATAATATGTTTGTTTAGTAGATGATTTTTTCATTGATTTTTATTTTAATTTAATTTGAAATAAATAAACAATAAAATAAACATCAATTAAAAATAATACAGTTATTATATTATATCAATTAAAAATAGTAAGTTAATTTTTGATTATATATATATATATTTTAATAATATTAAGCTCTAAACAATAAGACGCACCCATGACGGATAATAACAATTTTAATTAAAAATAATCATAATCATTAATAGCCGATTTATTATAATTATTACTTTTTTTCTTACTTCCTTTCGATTTACAAAACAGAATCCTTTTTTTTTTAATAGAATCACTGTCGAATTGAGAAAGTTCTTATTTTGTGGTACAATTCGACTGGTCTCATAAAGAACGTGTTTTACGAAAGCGACATTTAAGGAAATGCATCTAGACCGTCGTTGTAGACATGCAACGTTATAAATAATGGTTTTTATTCAATAACATCACGACAGCAAGTGGAAGGTCGTGGGACGAGTGATATAACACGCCAACTGGAGCGTGGTAATGTCACTTTTATATTATACTTCGGAATGATACCTGAATCGATTTCTTTTTATAATCACAGACCTGTTTTCCACAATTATTGGTTATACGAGAAAAACTATTCACATCATATAGAAGTACTCTATAAGCGAACACCATTCCTATAGTAAGAGAATAGTGTATATATGTATATATAACGGCTTCCGATGTTGGCGAAACTGAATCGGTGGAACCGCGGGCACTGCTTTAAGTATCATTACAAGTAATGCATACGTCTATCTTTTAGTAAAGTTTTATAAATCCTTTTTGATACTTTAAATAATATCAAAAAGGATATATAGTAATGATTAAAAAGAATAATAGGAACATATAAAAAATGCACCAGGTCATCATTCATCAGCATGAATGATGAATGATGACCTGGTGCATTTTTCTTCATCATTATTCTTCTCAACTAACCAGAAAAAAGTGACCATCAGGTGTTGCGTCTCTAAGGCAATCGTAATTATATTCCGACTGCTATCCGGGACAGTAATTAACTGTTTTTATATTATACTTTATTGCAACTACACATAAACACTATAGAATCATAATGAATAAAAACAAAATGTTAGTAACGATATTCGATATAAAACTCAATATAAAAATGATAAATTAACTTGGAGTACTAATTGTAGTCGAAGTAACAGGAATTATAGCATAGAAGAATTAAGTCAGACATATGGTAATTGTTACAAGTTTTAAATAATTCATGTTCCTAAGAATCTTTAATATTCTATAACCATGCCCACATAGATCATACAATATAATCTTTTGTTTACAACTTTCTGTAAAACACCACCAGCTGCCGTGCCAGAATTCGATGGTTAAACTACAAAGTGGCCGACTTTTTGCAATGAATGAAATTCGTCATATTGTTTGTGTTCAAAAAAGGCACAATTTCCGCTTGAACAATGTTGTTATGGGAAGTGCAGGTAGTTTCTAACAATGTACAATACATTTTTAACTAAACAATGATCTTGAAGGTGTAAAAGCACTTAGAAATCATAGATTACATTTGAACATAACTTTTCTATAGCAAATTGACGGAATGCTCCACACAGAGAATAAATATGACATGCATTAGAAGAACCACACTAAAGGTTTCCATTATGTATTAAAATATCCATTTAAATATAATATGCTTACACATTTATATTAATAACCTTTAAACACAATTCTATATACAGTATTAATATTCGCTTATCCATACTAATAAATATTTATTGTTTTAATGTAAAAGAAATAACAACATATGTTTAGTATATAATATTATAAAGTAAAAATATAATAGTATAAAATCGTTGCACTTTAAATTTAAAAAACAGCAAGTATGTAAAATAAATATAGCATCGATGAAATATTAGATTCATTGGATGTTTCTTTGAATTGATAAGCATCGATAAATTTAAAAACTTCTTTCTCCAATAGCAAGTTACATTATTCCAAACGGACAGCACCGCAGGACAACATTAGCTGTTATAATTATATTTTTTAAATACCGTAAAAAAAGTGAACTATTAAGTGTAGATTTTTTTTAACTCGTCTAATATAGCTTTTGCTAATAGATATTCTAAATAGCGGCGCTAAGATGTAAATTAGAAAACCGAGCCCGCCAGAGAAGCAGCTGCAATGTGACACCGTAACCGGATACATCCGCTCCGAACTGGTTTTCACCGGCAAAGCAAGGGCCAAGTGTCACGCAGGTTATTACATTGTTAACAAAAGACCCGCGTAATTAATGTAATTTGGTTACCGTAATTCGTGTTTTGACTTACTTGACATTGTATCAATGATATTTCAAATTTGATATTTTCTATTACCGAAGACTTTAACATAAAAAATATAAATGTCTAAGTTTCACTTAAGCTTACAGAGCTCTGATTGTGATCTATGAATAATTTGAAAATGTAAGTATTTTTGTATTTAAATATTATTTAGATTATAGATTAGTTAATAATATTGTAATTCAATTATTGTTAAATACGACACAATTATTATTGTTAAGAATTATAAAAAAAAATAAGACCTCGTAACTATACGATTGCACTTATAAGTCTTATAACTTAACAATAAAAGTTACTCCAATTGAACAAGTAAATTTTGATTATAAATTTTAAATCACGTTTTGCTATACTAATATTAGAAATACGTAAAGTTCGCGAGTTGGAATGATCGGTAAATACCGGTATTACTGAACTGATTTTGAAAATTATTTAATCAGTGGATAGGCCATTTATCGAGGAATGCTATATAACATCATGCTATAACGAATATAATAAACGGAACAACGAAAATGTAACAGAAATGTTGCAAAAACATGTGACTACTTTAACTAGTAGCTAGTAGAAAAAGAAAAGGTGCTTAAACAAAAAATAAACATTTTTTCACATACTCGTATAAGTATAATATTGAATACAAAGAACTTCCATAATTACATTAGTATAGTAAGTGATAAATCCATTTATTAAAAAAAATCAATTAAATACTGACAATTAATTTGCTATTACCACCAATTAAGTTAACCAAAATCAACCATCTCTACATATATAATTACTAGAGCTAATTTTGAAAACTACATTAAGTATCAATTAAATTTTATATTATTTACAAAACATACAATTGTATTCACTCTATTAGTATTATTAAGTTGAACATCTATATGTAATATTTATCATCATCATCAGTACCCGATAGGAAGGGAGATTATGACGCTTTTAGACGGACCTCGTCAGTCCTACAGGTTCAATAAGCTAACTTCAGCTATGAGGAGTTTGGAAATACGACAAGTTGTAAATATTAACATTTCAATTAATTTAAAGTCATATATTGTCTGAACTGCCTTAACATTCTACTCATATTTTATTACAAAAGCATATAAATAAATTATGATTGTCATTACTCTTCCCACAGACTATTACCGTACAGGCTACCCAGACCTCTCTTCTTTTGTGTTGCTAAGTAACAGTAGTAATTGCCAGTGACTGAATAATGTTTATTCTGTAATCATGATTCTACTCTTTTCTGATGTTATTAATCATCACCTATTAATGTTATTCTCAATTGCTGTACTGATTTTACTGAGCTTGCCCTGTCCTATATAGCATTAACACACCAATCTGTTCGCTTTGTCCACTGTCATCGCTTTCAAACTAGAGAATTGAAATTATGACTGTGTGAAACTTCATGAAATGTACAATGAAATTAAATATTGATCGTGACAGACATGCGTTCATGACGTAAATTAAATACAGCCCTAAAATAAACCGCCCGCAGCCTCGAGCTATAAATAACGTCAAAGACAAAACTGGATAATTTGCAGCTATGTGTTGATTACAAAATCGAAGTTTTCTACTAAAAAGATAACAATGACTTCGTGATGTACTGAATATTTTGTGTAAATGTAATAGCAAACAAGCTGAAGCCCATCTGATTGTAGCTCTGTCGCCTATAAATGTAATATGGACTTTATTCTCATAAATCTTTTCTTCGTACCTAACATTTTTCCTATCTAATCTCTTCCTTCAACCGAAACATATCTCAAAAAACAAACTGTTTAGCACATGAAACAGGTGAGAGAGACCAACATTGTACCAAATCATCATCGAGGTAGATGAACAGTAAACATTTTTAAGATCCTACAAGCAATAAATCATACATTTCCTGTTTAAATCATTACTTTAGAGGAACATCAATCAATCGACACGACAATAATGCAAATATTAAATATCAAGTTTGTACATTATCAGAGTTCTGCGTCACGAAACCGAAGTTCAACGACCGTCGATCGTGTAGTATTGAAAACTGAATTTCATAGCCACGCGTAACATCTGAACGTCCTTACTCTAGGACGGCCATCGAACTTTTGGAAAACCAAGTGATATTTTGGGATGATTTTTGTGAACACAATTTTCTTAAGGATGGGAATGGGATTGTTTGTAATGTGCATTCTTGAATCCGGTCTAACAGTCAGGCGTGACTTTCACGT